TATCCATTTTGGTTTCAAATTTGTCTATTTTTCCTGCAGCCGCGATGGATGGAGATATATGTTTTCGAATAATTCCCTAGTCACACATAAGCTTCAGGTATAATCAATACTTACTAGAACACTATTGTTTCGCATAATTATTGGCACAGACCAAGTCGTGCGGCAGGAGCAGACGCTAACCTAACTTTGTCAGCCACTTCGCACAAGCCTTGTTGAGGTCGATTTGACGTCTTGTAATCGGAGCCTGGTGGGTGAGGGAAAAAAGAGTGCGGTAGATGCTACGCAAGCATGCCTCACGATAAACTGGTTCATGCGTAAGTCACCTGTGTTGCGCCCACTCCATGGGACTCATGGTGGGCTTCGCCGCCAGTGACGGTCGAAGAAACTGATACGCTCTTCGCTGCAATTTATTGCAACCGCTAAAATTCTACCTTCCGCGGACGCTCATGTATGCGCTTATACTCAACACGCAGTAACTGCTACTTAATAATGGACGGTAGACAGTTTTTATTCAATTACTTCGATAGAAATTAGGAAAGTTCATGCCGCTAAATGCGTCGTTTTTCCCACATAAAGTTATAAACCAGGAATGAAACATTCAGTATGTGGTCATTGGCCGTAACCGAATTGGCAACCTGACGAGAACAGTGAACTTCACACGTAACAAGTTTACATCGGGTCCGAACTCCAGCAGGATCAAAATTGCTTACGCCCACCTGCTGTGGTATCTAATTTTCATATTGACCCAACCGTGAAAAACTCGGCGCCTCGGTAGGATTCAAACCCACGCAGTAAGGGGAAGACTTTAGTACGGCCAATGCTCTAACCATTTGAACTACGAGGCCCCGCTTGACCACGCGAGTTTAATCACATTGGGGTCAAGTTACCCGCCCAACCTAATGCAACGTCTGGAATCCACCAAATCTGATTCAGTAAGTTGACTGCCCAAGCAGGATTTCCTAAGTACTTCACCTAGAATCCACCCGATGACTACTAGGCTCTCGTAATTCATAGATGTTTTGGCAGATTTTGAATAATTCATGTCTAAGTTTGATATGGTCTAGTAGAATGTTTCTTTTTGGCGTTAATGTTGAACGTTTTGTGCCAGGGCTTGTCTGTCAGCAGAACTCTGGATCACACGTCGCCGAT